TGGTGGTGGTGGGGGGCAGGGATAGTGTAAAGAAAGAGAAAGCAAAGGCTCGTCATGTAGAAATATAACGAACGAGTTAAAAATCCAAAAGAACTGCTCCCGACATTTAAAACAATCCGTTTAGCCCGTGCAACGTTAAATCAAAAGAGGTGCAGGCTATTCTATAAAGTTTAATTTGTCAAGTGAGCTGACAAAACGAGTTATTTCTCAGATTTTAGCTCTAATTGATAGGCAGAGTTTGTACAATCTTTAAATGAATTAATAGAGACGTGTTAAACTTAAAGAAATCAGCATCTCTTGAAAAATCTTCAAATTGACCCTGGTATGGATATAATATGGCCAATCTCTCCAATCGTGGATTGTGAGAAACGACTAATTTTGTCAGCACACCTCACTTTTTATCACTATATTCACCATACGTTTTGGGAGGCCCCAGATACTTTAAGAGGAGCCAGTTAAAACTCTGTCTTACAATCTTTTTATTTATAAACTGGGATCGCTATTTCTAGAGGTGGAAGGGGAGGAAGGGGGGAGAGGGGGTCCCAGGTAACACTCGAACCTCAGCTAGTTAAAATTCTATCTCGAACCTGATCTATTCTGTGGTTTACGATTTATGGTAGATCTAGGAAGAATCTTCGAATACATGTACAAAAAAAAACAACCTATCGTGTTATGAAATGCACATCAGTAAGGTTGTCAATGCGAAATCCTACAGTCGTATCTGAAAAGTAATGCCAGCTTGGCCGATGTATGACCACGAAGTTGCCAGGTACTAAGCAATCTTTCAGTGGAACCACCGGAACTTCCGGCTGTAGATGTGGGTACGTAGGCTCTGTCGATGTGTACATTTCCGTGTCGGAATAAAACACCATGAAAGTGATAGCTCCGTGGATGTCCTGAGATAAACAAAAAACACAAAGCAAAATTGAGCATTTGAATTGAGTAAAATAGTAAAATATTCACTTTTCTCTCCATCTCGCTCTCTGTCTCTCTCTCTCTCTCTGTCTCTGTCTCTGTCTGT